GATAATTTGCTAAGTAATCTGATGGAGATGGTTGGGAACCACAGTCCAGATTAGAACACAGAAAAAAGGAAGAATGCATAAAAAAAAACCTATCTTCTTTAATCAGTAATCCCAAACAACGATGTATCTTAAGAAATTATTAAGCTTGCCTCTTGTTGCTGATCATAAAGTGGATCCATTAGGTTTATTATCTGAAAAATTAAGTAGAAAGATATTGTTTGATGAAGGATGTTTTTACAAATGTCTAATAACAAGAGGCTAGATATAGAGATTTCTTAGGCACAGAATGCTGATAGGTTGAGGATTTGCGGAGTGCTGTTGACCAAGAGATCAATAGTTGAGAACTTGTTTGTCAAAAAATGATGGCACAAGAAAGTCTTCTTACAAGAATCCTGGTTGGATATGAGGTTTTGTTATATCTTTACAAGACTGCCCATGAAAAGCTAAAATATAAGGGAAAGGCAACCCATAAAATTGGGAGCTGAGAAACGAGCTCGGTTGGGCGGTACTGTGAAAAAGCAGGTGGTGATAGGAGCAATTGAAAGTAGTACAGCATTCCTCCCTACATAATAACTATTATAACATGACATTATACACCCTGCAGGAAGTATTCATGTCATGTTGAATCTTATTTTCTTTAGAGTTTACTTTTTCCATGGATAATTCCTCTCTTATGCTTTTAATACTTTATACAGAAATGATATACAGTATTTCTCTCTTTTGAAATCAATCTTTAAAATAAGGATTGGCAGTGATTCTCCCACTGAGATAGTCATTTTAATTGATATTGTCTCCTAGAATAAAATTACTTTTTATTCATTAAATGTTAATGAGAGGCTAGTTGGTCACAGTATCCTTCTTCTATGAAAAGAAGCAACATTTTGGCATTTGATCTCCTTGTCTTCTTAATAAATTTAGATTGCATAAGGACCCATCAGTACATATCCATCGAGTCTCCTTTTATTTTATTTAGGTTGTTTCAACCATGGTGGTATCTCTAAATTCCAAATCTTTATAAATGTAATTATTCAAAATCCCTCTTTTACCCAAGTGGCAAGACGTAAAGGTAGTGGTTTCATTAGATAAGGAATGGAAAGATGCTTGAATCTATTTCACTTAAGGTGATACCGTGATTGAGATGGGGACACCCCAGTTCTACTTTACCCTCAGAAACAGCAGCTCTCTGAGCGATCTTTCAAAAGCTTATTATTGTCATAAGCATTTAGACTTGCTGATGATAGTACTATTAATGACATGGACTTCTTTTAAAATGCACTTGTATCTGTTTCTGCATGTTTGGCAAGATTGATAACACTATGGTATTTTTCCATACTCTCACCATATATTTCTTGAAAGGCCTGGCTTCTAATTCAAAAACTAACCCCACATGAACATTTAACCACAATATGGGATTTATTCCAGGATCTCACCACTTTTCTTTCAAAACTGTTTAAGACTATCTAGTTTCTTTCCTTTAAGATTGTTTTCTTCATGGTCATTATACCAATCTGGCCGGCTAGAGAACTATATGCATTACATTACATCATACCGATGGCCAGCTAGAGAACTATATGCATTACAAGTAGCTTCCCCATACCTAGGAGTATTACAGATAGATTCTCATACCTAATAGTATTCCATGAGCAAATTGTTATGAGACTTCCACCCATAATAGTTTCTGATTTCCATCCTTATCCTTACTTTTTCCAACCTGAGACTATATTGGGACTTATCCTCAAAACTTTAAGTACTGAATAAGTTTTGAGGGTTTATAAAACTGCATCTTTTTCTTGTTGCAAGAGATTTTTCCTTGGTTATAATGAAGCAGAGAAATGGCCTTCTAGTATCTTCTCAACATTTCACCCAACAGACTTAAGAGGTCATCCTTTAATGTTACAGATTAACTGAACTGCCAGCTCTTTGCCATTTGAACTTCTCTATAATATTTCAGCTATCTCCTCTAAATACCCTCTGCTTCATTAATTTCTGTATTTGCAGCATATAACAGTGTTGCTTGAAAACCAAAATTAGAAACTGGGCAAGTAATTGTTAACATTAATTAATAGCTGTTCCTTTAATCAATAATAATCATTTATCAATCATTTTGCCATCCTTCTCTAGCTACATTTTCTGATCTACTACTATGTGCATGCTCTATATTTGTACAAGAAAGTTGCCAGATTGAGTATACAGAATTTTAGTAGCAGTCAAAACACAGTAGAATTACACAGTGCATTGCTAATGTTAAATGTATCTAGAAATCTCATTTGATTATGGTGGTTTGATTTGGTTTGGTTTGGTTTGAGAAAATATTTTTTTAATATTTAGTATTAATCAAGTTACTCTAAGTAATTAATAAGGTAGAGTAATATATTCTGGTTTTATGACAAGATAGGTATACAATAATAAATCTTAATGGAAACAATATTTTTCTTTTATATTAATCCAAGGTATGAAAACCCTTTAAGTGAAACTAAAAGAATTAAAGATTGAATCTGGAACATCACCATTCAGGTTTAATTGAGAAAGTATATTTCAAAATTAATAGCTTCTGTTACTCATTGATTTTACTAATGTGTCTAATCAAGAATCTTTAACATAATTTTTGAAAACATTTATTTTTATTAAACATTTTCCTTCCAGGACATATTTGTTTTTAAATGAATACAGTATTGAGCAATTCAAGATCCCCTTCCATTGATCTATCCATTTTTCACTGTCCAGATACAAAGAAGAATGGCATTGGAACCCATTGAGATGCTGTTTCTTTGACTTGTCCTGTTACAAAATTTGCACTTGCCATGCAATGCAGTCATAAAATAAAAAAGTAGAATAATTTAACTTTTTTAATTCATAAAGATAATCACGGTTTTCTGATTACATCTTAACTTCATAAATGTTAAATAACCTATCAGCATCTAGTTGTTGTAAATTATGAAAAAGAGTATTGCTGGGAATATTAACCAACTAAATCCTTGTTCTTTAGTGAACATGAAAATGCATTGTGGCAGGTTGTCATTGTGCTCATGGTAACTTTGACACCAAATAACAAAACTGCCATTTGTACTTAGGGTAAATTAGTTCACTTGTGCTTTTACTGTTCCTTTCATTCTGACATAAATGTATGAACTCTGGAACTAACCAAATCGTGTAGTTTCCCCACTGACTTTAGGAAATCTGCCCATTTCATTCCGTTCACTCATCAGAACATCAGTGCTATAGTAGTTTCAAAATCACTGTTTTTATTTTAAAATATAAGAAGTTTTCTTCCAACGATGTCCAATTTCAATATCATTCTATGAACTTATTTATTTTATTACAGGGTCATTTAAGAGCAATGTACCTTTGGAATACAATATATTACTAGATGCTGGCAGTACCTCCCCTCTTGTAAAACCAGTTGGACAGCCCAAATTCCTTCTTTTGGAGGGACTTGATCCATGCACCCAATATGAGATAAGGATACAAGCCTGCCAGAATGGTAAGATGTTAAGTAATTCCATTTTGTTATTGGAAGGCAGTGCAATTTTGCAAAATATATTCTGTTTAAATAACAGCATAACATCTTATTTCAAAATGTTTACCTAGTAAAAGCAAACTAGGATTGAATCATTTATTTTACACATCTCCATATTGTATCATGAATATTTCAATAGAAAATTTAAATAGTTCACATTTGGGAGAATGTCAGCCCTTTTTATGAAAAACATAAAACAAGGTGTTTTTAAAATTGTTCTAGAAATACACATCGGAGAAAATCCATTCCCAATTAATACTACATCAGTAATTTATATATCCTTTTTATTATTCATAGGAAACAGAAGGATAACTCTCTCTTATTTAGAATTATAAGAAATGTATGAAACCTGATCTAAAGGGTTTTGTTAGTATGGGTACAGCATAATGGGATTCTTCAGGTGGTATTGAAGATGACACTGCCTTGGTCTCTGGGATTCTGAGGGAAGTGGTATTCCTCCATTGGAAAACAAACTAAATCTTTGGAAAATCATCACCATTATCATCATCCTCATTATATTGCCCAAACCAAATTGTTTCAAAAATATCTTGCTTTGTCTGTATTCTAAAAGAAGGAATGCTGTAAATCATACATTGCCAAACAGATAGGACTTTAGTAAGGACTGATAATTGAGCCAAGAACATGAGTTTGACATATGATAAAAGAAGCACAACTTTTGCCAAGATTTTTCAACTGGCTGATTTTCAGAAAGCAAACCAGTAAAGCAAGCAGGAATGAGTATGGCAACTCAGTGCTTCTTATTTTTGCTTTCCCTCTGTTAAACCAAAACATAAAATGGTGATTTTGTGTCAGCTTACTATCTGTACTATGAACAGTCGTTGATATCAATTTATTTGACATGTTTGAATGGACTTTATGAGGAACTGGATCAACACACTATATAGTGCAGAAACTAAGAAGGCAAATGGAAGTCATGCATCCAGTATTAATTATTATATTGCTGAATTCTGGTTTCGTATCATGAGAAATGTATTTCATTTACGTGTGTGGGGGGTGTGTGGGGGGGTTGTGTGTGTAAAAGTCTAGAGCAGATGATGGTAGTATAGTGAAAAACAATACATGACTTATTGAACACAAATAGTTTGCCAAGTTGTGTCTGAACAATATTTGGATGGAAAATTCTCTGGAATATGATAGCTCTAGGCTAGACTGGCAAACAAAGAAAACCCCTCAGAAAACAATCACAACAAGCTGCATAGATCTATCTATGAAGACACCAGGGGCTGAGTTTGATTTGGAAGATGCTATAAATGGTATATTTTTCTTTTTTATTTGCCAAGCTCTCTGACTAATGGTGTTAACTGCCCATAGATGAGACAGGTAATGTAGAAATTTAATAGATAAATAAAATAATTTTGTCTGGACTTTCTACTAGAAGCCTCAAGACCCAGTATATGTATTTTTTTTTATTACAGTAGCTACAGTGATTGGAAAGAGACATATTTTCATTAAGAAATGTTAGCTCTTGAGTCTTTGACAATTAGAAGAGTACTTTGCATGCTTGAAAGGCAATATGATTCTTAAGGTCTGGTTTGTATTCTTCTAGATGGCTGCGGAGTTGGTGAACGAGTATATGCAACCACTGCTGAAGCCTTTCCTGAAGATTTGAGTCCTCCTATCATTTCAGCCATTGGACCAACATATATAGCTGTGAAATGGTCACCTCCTAAAAAACCCAATGGGATAATTACAAACTACTTTATTTACAGGTAGTCCTTGTAGTTTTGTATTTTTAAATATTATAGACCTCACTATGTAATGGAAGCTTTCTGTAAAGGTGAGGTTTTTTTTTCAAGATGGGTAGGCCTAAGCAGTATGCAAAGTATCCAAATAAATGCCCCAGGGCTCACGAAAGACACAGTGATTATGGAAGATAAATTATATCATCATGACTGTTATAAAAAGAGTATTTCAATGTTATTACTACTGACCATAAATTGCATTTTCAAGATAGCAAAAAGAACATTTAATTCCTGAATGCAGATGGGTCAAATAGCCTTTTCAGATATGCATCATGCTGGATGCAGAGTCTGCATCTGCATTAAAACTCTTCTGGCTTTCTTTTGCAACCTAATTCTTTTGTCAGCATTCATCAGGGTCAGATATACTTTGGTGTTTTATTCCCCAAGTTCAAGAAACTCCAACTAGAAGAACAAGTCACTAATATCGTGTACATGTTTCTACACTATTTTAAACTTGCACGTGGCTTGCTTGCCCCGGACCTCTATGTTATACAGGGATTGTGGAAGTAAGCCTTTTCATTGATTAAGAAAATCTAATAGGTAAGAATGTTCAATTGTGCAAGGAAGAAAAGCTGGTATATTGGGGAAACTGTTTGGAGAAGGGGCAGGGACTGTGTAGAATCCAAAGTAATGAATGCAGATAGATGGCAAGCTAAGAGGGAAGGGAGAGAAGGAGTGAAAGGCAGTTTGAAGAAAACAATAGGAAGAACTAGGCATTAGCCCGAAAATAATCATTGATATGGAAATATAATGGACCCATGGAGTTGAAGGAAGGAGTGACAGAAAAAACAAAATTGCTCATTAGGCTAGGTGATAACCGCCAAGGACAAAAATGATGTGGCTTAGCAAGGAAGACAGAATTCAGGTTGATGTTTGAAGTTGCGAGATCTTCATAGCGACAAAGGAACTTGGTCAAACTTGATTTTGGCTGGCTCTCTACTATTGGTCAAGGAGCAATTGATTCTAAAAAAGCTGTAGATGTTAGTGAATGAATGTCTTTTCTTGAACCGACTTGCTAGTATTTTGGCTGAAGGCTTCTAATAGTTTCTAAAATGCTGCTTGATTTGGAATATTTCCCCTTTTCTATGCTAATTGTATGACCCAATAGATTAAGCCCCAATTTTGTGTAAAAGGAAACAAAGTATCTTTCATAATCCAAAATACATTTTCATTCTGCTGATTTTGTAAACAACACTGATGATTATAGCAGCAATTCCACAGCAGCCAGGGAAAGGGAAAACAGGAAATATAATGCAGAAAGTGGAAAATATTGTAAATTGAATTTGACAGCATTTGATGGCATTTGATTATTCTAGTCACAGCCAAACAATGATATAAAGAGTAATATGAAACAGAATGTGTTACTGCCTAGCAGACTCGAAAGCAATAAACCTTCTTCCAATGTGACACAATCACTTCACAATCATAATTGTAGCCTGTTTGATACCTCGGAGTACAGCAGAAGGGCACTGACTGACATAGATACATTTTGTTTTTTATTTAAAGTGAAATGAAAATGGCGCACTGGGGCTCCAGATATAATCGTTATATTCACCTACATAGGCATGAATCACTTGGCAGTTATTTCAGCTGAAGTTTAAATGTGCTTAGACAACAACAATATCACATCTTTTTCAGATAGCTATGAAAAAAAAATCAGAAATATGTAAGAACAGAAATGGAATGTAAGCACAGCATTTTTTTTTCATGCAGTGTTCATACACAGCCTTAACAAAAACCCTTCAGTATTTATATATGATGTTTTGCATATAATTTCTTTTTCATCTTTTGCTGCCCTGCCTTATTATCATTTATACATTAAACTAAATTTATTTAACCAGCAAGTGAGTGGGCAGTTTTTCATTAAAACTGAAGGATCTAAATTTGCAAGGGTTTCGGCTTCTTCTATGCTAACCTTCATGATATCTCTCTCTCCTTCCCCATCACAAATCTTTTTCCAAAAGCTTAAAGTCTTAATTGGAATAGAACTATGTGGAGGATGGCAATATTTATTATCCATTTATTTCTGCACCATAAACCTGTGTATATCTATGTGTATTTATGTGAGTGATGCACATTTCCCTATGTAAAGCCAGCTTATACATAGAGACTTGATTACAGAATAAATGCAAAATAAAGTCAATATAATGATAACATTTAAAAGTATGTTATCATTAGGTTGACTTGATTTTATATTTAACAGTGGCTAGAAAGATATTTTATATTCAAAGTAGTTAGAACGAGGTTTTCCCTTTGAGCAATATTTACTTGATGTCTTCTATAGAGGGGAGGAATGGTTAAAAAATGGGAATGGAGGTCAAGGTTTCTCCAGACTATAAAGAATAATGCAAAGAGCTAAAGAGATCTCTGATTATTAGAACCACGTTCTGTCTACACTTCAGGATGTCTCCATATATTAGTGTCAATCATTTCTAACACACCATTTTAACTAAAGTTACAGTATGTGTAAAGTGAATGAATACAAAAGTGCATTCTCCTCTCCTATTTACCATCTACATGTGATCACTGGGTAAGCATATCCACTGCCATGGGAAGAGGTATAATCAATATGCCGATGATACCCATTTGTACATCTCTATCCCAGTGAATTATTAGGGAGGGGCTCCTCTGGAATCCTTCCCCCTGGGGATCTACCTGCTCACTACATTCCATCACATGCATGGAGTATGCTGATTACACTTACCAAGCTTCTTTTCCAACCTATGACTGAATGTGCAGAGGCCAAGAAAGAGACTTCTATAATTAACATGCAATTGTCATATGAAAAAAGCTATATGTATAGCTATGCAAAAACCACAAAATTAAACTTCACACACTGACTCAAAGAATGACATCTTCCATTTCAAATTAAAAAAAAAAACACCAGCTCTTCTATTTTCAGAATAAACACTTCAAATATACTGGCTATGTTACTGGCTGTGCAGGTTTGCCACGGTAAAAATTGGAAATCCAACTACATATTTTAGGAATAAGTGGCAAGGCAAGCAAAGCATAGAAGCAGAATCTGAGGCAGCTGACATTTCTTTAAAATGGCATCTTTCTCCTTTTATTGCTTGCTGTATTAGGAGAAAAACTTCCTCTTAAATGAGCAGTTGAATTCTAAATACTCAGCCTTTTGAAATGATTAGAGATTGCTCAAACACTTCTCTTCGCAGTTTATTCATACAAGATATGCTGTCTTTTTAGCACCACAGATGGAACTATTTGCCTAAGCATAAGTTTCTTTCATTAAATATTCAGCAGTAATATGATCTAAACACTTTAACCAGGCTACATTGTTCAGCTTTTGCTTGTGGAAAAGCTCACAGTTGGTGACATTTTTGATATTTCAGTGCAGGGAAGCTGTTTCTTACAGATTCCCCATATTGCTAAACATTAATTTATAAATTCAGCAAACAGTTATTTTTTTAAGTGAAATGCTGTTCAGTGCAAACAGAACTACTTAGCATTAAAAAGAGGCTTGTGGTACTTAAAATGATTTTTTTTTACTTTTCTTCAATGACTGATTTTTATAATCAAAATGAAAAGACTTCTTGCACTAAAATGTATGCTAAATACACATATATATGGAATCAGCTCTCAGTTGCAAGCAGAAAAAACATGGGGTTTTTTTAGTTTGAACTTTTGCCCCTTACATTTTCTAAATCATTATTCTAGTCCTCATCATTTAAATGAACTGAATTTAATGAAAATGCCTTCAAAAGTCTAAACTCCTGGAACTTAAATCATTACTTACTTTTACACTAAATCAGATAAACTTTGAGGTTCTTGTCTTAAACATCTATTTAATTTCTTTGTGTACACAGTTATTCAGCATGTTTATTCTTAATTAGAAAAGCCCTAAAAGAGATTATTAATGTACAGTATGCATCTCAGTGTATACATTGTATACCTGTCTCCTATATATTAAACTCTCACCTAAATAATACTAATGAATAAAACACCCGGATAATCAATACATAATTCTTCTAATGACATTTCAAACATTTTTCCATGTTACTCTTAAAAGGACCCTGCAATGACCATTTCTTTTCTTTTCTTTTCTTTTCTTTAATGAAAAGGTGACTGCAGAAAGAGGTCAATATTTTGGAGATGAGGAGCACTTTATTTTTATTTTTTTTTATTTAACACTAACTTGTATGCCGCCCTTCTCCCCACGGGACTCAGGGACTCAGGGACTCAGGGACTCAGGGCGGCTCACAGCACATTAAAACAACAGAAAAACATTTCCCCTTTAAAAACCAATTAAAACCAAATATTTATAGCTGTGACATTATTAAAATATTTAAAAATTTTCCCTATTTAGTTCAATCTTGTAGATCAGCATTAACATTTATCAGAGAAACTATACTAGATTGTTGTAGTTTTGAAATGTGTACTTCAGGATCCAGTTATCATATTTGAACTTGCAAATAACCATCTTTTTTTTTTTTGTCTGCCTTTCAGACGTCCCATGGAGACTCAAGAGGAAATGCTTGTGTTTACCTGGTCTGAAGGCACTTTAGAATTTATTGATGCTACAGATGTTCTTCAGCCATTCACAGAGTATGAATACTGTGTCAAGGCTCAGAATTCCAAAGGTTCTGTGAATAGTTCATGGTCTTCAACACAGACCCTAGAAGCTCGACCATCAGGCATGAAATCTCCCTCAGCACAAGCCATCAGCGCTCATTCTGTGTTCCTAAATTGGACCAGCCCTGCTTCTCCTAATGGTGCTATTTTTCAGTATCATGTTGTCTATCAAGAGAGACAGAATGACCCAACAATTAACACGCAGGACGCACTAACAGTTCCTGTAAGTACTACATTAACCAATCAATGTGTGAAGCACCTTCAGATTCAATTTAAGCATTCAGAAATAATGTGTCAATTTTTGGTCTTCTCTTTGGATTTGTACATGCATTTCAAAAGACCTGTTTATTTAAAAATATTTCAGCTGTTTTAACTCTGTGAATTTCAGAAAATCATAGAATGCACATATAAGGGGAAAAATATAATTCTGATGTCAAAAGCAAGCTTCCTTTGTCTCAAGCTGATGTACGCATCAATTTAAAAGAGAGGTTCCTTCTGTATAGAAGAGATGAAAGAACAGTTCAGTAAAGATTTTGTTTCCTAGAATAGAATAGAATAGAATAGAATAGAATAGAATAGAATAGAATAGAATAGAATAGAATAGAATAGAAGTTGGAAGGGACCTTGGAGTTCATCTAGTCCAATCCCCTGTTCAGGCAGGAAACCCTGGCCTATACCATTTCAGACAAATTTTACAAAACTATGATTATGATGGTATGTTCTGTATATCACTCATCTTCCAGCCCTTCCCCAGGATATTTCCTACCTTCCCAGTTTTTCTTTTTTATTGGCAAGTAGACATACTGCTAATTTCCTACATTAACTCCCCGTTTGTGCTTTATAAGAATTCCTACATGATCAGTGAGAGCATCAGAAGCATTTTGTAAATAGATGCTGGAGGCATACTTTGACTTTGCAGTATGTGATTTCCCCCATATATTTCTTAATTGAGCAATAGTGGCAAGGCACCCAAAAGAAACTTAGTTAAACATTGTCATTATCAATGGGCCCTCCCAGGGAGAAGCATATTTACTCAGAGGTAAATTCCACTAAACATAATGCTGGATTGGTGTCTTAAGCTTTGAATGTCTAGAAGAAAAGTCCTACCAAAATCAGATATTTTTCAACCCTTGAAATATAATTTTATTTATGCACATTTACAGTGCATGCTGGTTTAAGCATGATAGTAAAATTAACATTAGCTTGACACCAATGATTTATGTTTGGTAATTAAGGAGATTTGCCTCATAACTCTTCAGAATCAGAAATAAATCAACTACTACAAAAAGAAATAACTTTTACATGATATTCATATACTATAAGTTGCAAAGCTTAATAAATGCAGTAATCTGGAGCTGAATAGATATTATTACCTCAGAAATAGAGTCTGTGACAATGTTGTGGCAGATTTTACATTTTATGTACCACATTGGTGAGGCCAGAAAAGAAAAGAGTATTAAGGGGCTGTAGGGAATAAAATAACAGAGAGGAGACTCTTGGGTAAAGATTTTGACTAGTAGTAAGTGGAAATGCTTAATGCAGTTTTGATACTACAGAACTGTATAAAAAGAAGCAGCAATTTTCAGAGCACAATAGTATTAACTATTTTAATTAATAGAATTCTCATTGCATCTCAGTTTTTTTTCTCTTACTCGTTGCTTAGTTTTCTAAAGGAATGTGTTAGAAGACTACTAAAGTATGTACTGTACATATTTTCTCTTTTTTAAAAAAATGTATAGCTTGGGAAAATGCTTCTGACATGTTCTAGATCTAATCATCTCCTCCTTCTGATAGATATACTCTAACATTATTTAGCATTTATTTTTCCTTTTATTATTTTTTCATTCCAAATGCTAACTTTATAAGAATGTGTCTTCATTGCACTTTGAAATAGGTCTGAAGGAAATAAGTTAGAAATAATAAATAACCATAAATGTCTATTAGTGTACTGAATTCTAAACTGTTCTTGTGATCCATGCTCCATTCTTAATCTCTTGTTTGAATTTATATTTTTAAAAGCATTGCAGTTACAGTGGTACCTTGGTGCTCAACTGCTTTGAAACTCATCGAATTTGGTACTCAACACATTTTGATATTAAAATTTTGTCCCAGTACTCATTGTTTATTTGGTACTCAACACACAAGCTAGAACATGTCAGTGTCAGCTGCCCTGTGACTCACTATTCACTTAAGGGAATAATTTGTTTGGTACCCGTCATTTTTGTGCTTCCCAGAACCAATTAACAACTACTGAGATGCCATTGTATATATTTCTTTAATTAAAGATGATGTAGAGATGGCTCATTGATTTTTAGTGACAAAATAGTGATATTTTACTTGCTTGCCAATTTCTTATGCATTCTTACTATCTGCATTATATTTTGCTTGATTCTTCAAGCCAAATATAGTGGGTTATGCTATAATGCTCATCTTTTGGATCCAGTACTGCTAATGTTCTTAATACAAAGGGGGGATTTGTCTGTGGAATATGCATCTTGCTTCTTCTTCCAATCTGCTTTTATGTCAATGGGGAAGAGAATCCAAGACATAATTGACCTCAGTTCTTGTTGCTGATGGGATGGAATGTATCTCTTTTTGTAAATATTTATTATTAATAGGTTATTATGTCTACCTCATTGCTTACTTGTGGATTTGTCTTGTTTCCAGATGATAGGCCTTAAAGTGTCAGCATATCTTGAGATACTCCCTCATCCCCACATGCCTACCTGCTCTTAATAGATTCCATAGATAGATTTAATAAATTCCATAGCTGTAGTTACATTCCTTGGCAATTCACCAATATACCAGTTCAAAGTGACAGGATGGGTGGATAGGGGCTTTGAAAGTTAATTGGCAATATTGAGGACAAGGTATGTGGTATAACATTAAAGTTGCACACTATAATGCATAAAATGTGCACTGGATGAGCAATATGCTAAAATATAAATAAAGAAAAATTACCCTACCTAAGTACAGACCACACTTTATTCTTTGGGTTCAAAGATGAAGTAGATAGAAAGCTCAGGCCACCAAACAAAAGTTATTCCTTAGCTTCCCACACTGCATCTTAATTCAAAGCACTGATTTAAACAACAACAACAACAACAACAAC